GCGCCGGGGCCTGGGGCAGAGCCAGCCCGGAGGGTGGGGGCGTTTGTCCATCAGGGAGCATTCCAGCTCCGCGCGGTCCCGTGTCCGGGTGTCTGTGTGTGTCCGCGTGTGCACACGTGCAGGGGGCTAGGGGCTGGAGGGACCAAGTGGCCACAGCCTCTGTGTTGGCTTCAAGGGTCAGCTGTCCTCCTGGACGCTCATGGGCTCCAAGGGGGACCCGCTGCCCGTCCTGGGCGCTCCCCCTCTGCCCTGGGCCCCGCCTCAGCCCCTCCAGCCGGGGACACACTGGGAGCCGGGGTGGCAGGGACATGACAGGGTCCCACCGGAGCCCCTGGGGACAGTCTGAGGGCGGTCGCTGTCCTTCCTCTCGTCCCCGCTCCTCCCGAGAGCGAGCCGGTGAGACGCAGAGAGGAGAGGCCACCTCGGCGGCAGCCACTTCCTGCTGGGCCCGGACAGAAACGCCTTTGTCGAGTTCCTCTGAGCCTCCCCCTCACCACCCCCGCCTTCTCGCCCCCAGGAGTGTCCGCCGGACGGGAGGAGCTTCCGGGAGGAGCAGTGTATCTCCTTCAACTCGCACGTGTACAACGGGCGGACGCACCAGTGGAAGCCTCTGTACCCCGGTACCTGGCCCTGGCTGCCCGGCGGGGAGCACAGTGCGGGGTGGGGGGTTCCCAACCCTGGCAAGACCCACTCCCAATGGGCCAGCCCCTTCAGACAGTGGGAGGGCAGATGGGCCAACTGGCCCAGCGGGAGGGGTCTTGTCAAAGGTCAGAGGGAGTTGAGGCCGCAGAATAAACGAGCTGGCCTTCCCCGCCGTGGGCACGTGCAGGGGGTCCCGGGCCAGCAGCCCAGGCCACCAGGGGGCTCAGCCTCCTGCCAGGGGGACCTGCCCCCCCCCCCCAAGAAGGCAGAGGCGAGAGGCACAGAGCCCGCATCGTGGTGCATTCCAGCCCCTGAGTCCCCGGCAAGTCCCTCCCACTCTCCGGGCCTCCATTTCCCCCTCCATGTCCCGGGGTGGGGGGGCGCCGTCTCCGTGGGAAGGAGAGGGGAGCCCCTGAACCCGGCCCCCGATCCTGAGAGCCCCTGTCCCCCCAGATGACTACGTGCACATCTCCAGCAAGCCCTGCGACCTGCACTGCACCACCGTGGACGGCCAGCGGCAGCTCATGGTGCCCGCCCGAGACGGCACGTCCTGCAAGCTCGCCGACCTGCGCGGGGTCTGCGTGTCTGGAAAATGTGAGGTTGTTAAACATTGTAGCACAAGTTCCGCTGGTCTCGTTG